CAAAGTGCGTTTACAAAGCTTAAGAAACCGGAGTACGTAAAAAAATCACACTCAATTTGGCTTTAGATTATAAATATGTCTCAAATCGTGTAATTGTGAATAAGATTGCTAACGTGCATGTACACTAAGGCCACACTCTGCAAATGTAATCACACAATATTTTATTTACTTTGAGCATTTGATTGTCACACATGCTCCTTTTAAGTTTCAATGTTTGCTTCCAACAACACAACAAAAATAAATAAATTCCAAGTAGTATATTATTCAAATCCCCAAAATGGTGCACGCCACAGGAGCTGGAATTCAATAACATAGATGAAGGCACATTGAATTTGTCTACTAAAAAAACATGTCTTCTATCTGAATTAAAGACAGGATCCCAGACTTTGTCATCGCCTTCAAAAGTAAATAGAATCCAATTGACGGTGTAATTATCAGTGCTGTGGCGTCGTTGCTCCGTGCTCTTTACCTTCATGATGTCAAACCTAACCCTGTTTGCTTTCTAATACAGAGTTAGGTTTACTGACATGATTTTTGGTTGTTTTGTTTTAAATTTGAATAAAGATTACTGGTACATTCAAACAGCAGGAATGGCTGCATGAAACAGGTGAGATGTAAGACGCTTATTATAATATCACTTGACTTTCAATCACAGCTTCTACTTTGGCCTCTCGACCAATCACTTCACAAGTTTCTCATCCGTCCTTTATAGCCATAAGGCTTTTTCACTCTGCAGTAGAACCAGTTTTTTCACTCTGCAGCAGAACCAGTGTTCAAAACCCCTCAACATGTTGGATGAAGTTGCATTTAATGGTTTATAAAATGTAGTTGATGGATATTTTCTCGCTGACTGTTTGATTGAAATAGTTTTAACATTTTAGATCTTTAGGGCAAAAAGTCCGACCCAAATGGACTACATTGTCCACAAGTCTGTTCATCAAATCCTCCCACATAACAGATAGTCCTGTAGAAGCAAAACTATGTCCTTCTTCTCTGATACCTCTCCTTTTTATTAAATATTTAGGTGTTTCAGTGCTGTTCGCTTTTCAAATTGTCCTAAAAACACATTGGGTTTATTTTGGTCTCTGTTGAAGGAGGTCACTTCTGTGTGTGAGAAGAGGGGAAGGCTGATGTTTTTGAAAGAATATAATAGACTTTAGAAAAGCAGGCATCAGGCCTCTTCAGCGGTAAATATATCCACACTTAGAACCATAAGAAGTTGATGATAACATTTACTTAAAACTCCCTTATGTCTAATGAATGAATAGAAAACATGTTGTGCAATAATAGTGTATTTCAAAAAAACATTTCTGCTGGTTTATAAAATGTATGATATTTATTCAATACAATCCAAAAAAAGTGTTATGAATTAAACTACTTCACACACTTTCATAAAAACATCTGTCAAAAGGGTCCTGAGCCAGCTGAGACCCCCCCGGGATCCTGCACTATGGCCACCACTGCTCCTGATAGACGCCCTGAGGCCTTGAAGAAGGGTCAAATGCAGAGGATTATGGTCCTACGGAGGATGATAAAGTGTGACTGATCGGAACAAGGGGACTTGCCTCTTCACAAAATGGGAGGGGGACTCATATTTGTCCTGGAAAGAGACCTCCTTCTTGTCTTCTTGGAAAAATTAGAGGTTTGTTTGCAAAATGTTAAACAAGTTGTATTAACAAAACCAAATAAGGCCTTTCAGCTTTAATTCAGAAGTTTCTGGATGCTTACCTTATTTTTAAAGTATTAAATGGACTTGCTTCTCCTCCCTTAATGGATTTTATAAGTAAAAAAAACAACCATGGAGTCAGAACCAGAGCACTAACCAGAGGAGAGAGACTTAACATACAAAGGCGCAGGACTAAATTCAGCCAAATGGTGGCGTTATGGAACACTTTGCCGGAACACGTTCGAAACTGTGGGACCCACCAAACATTTAAAGGAGTCCTCAAACATTGGATGAAATCAAACCAGTCATGCTCCCATAGATAATCTGCTCTTCCTTGGGCTTTCTCTTTCTCTTTTTCTCCTCTTATATATTCTTTATGTCTTGCTTGTCGTCTTATTGTTTGTACTTTTACTAACTGTGTGTTTGTGTGTTTGTGTGTTTCTTACCTGCCTTAGGACAATGGATGCAATTTAGCTATTGTGCTAATTCAGGCATATTTATGTTGACGCTGTTTGCAGACACATTGATGAATATGTACTGTCCTAAATTCAAAAAAAAAATAAAATAAATATATTGAGTCGACAGAAGTAAGATTTTCTCATAATCACTTTTAGATAAAAGAGTCTAATGTCTAAATTGGCCCTTCAAAATTAAGGGCACCTACCAAGACTTCAGTGTGGACCGTTTTTGAAGGCTTTTATTTTGAGTCTGGGGCTGTTTTTCCATGTCCACTTTTCCATTTATAATTCTGACACTGGACCCATTGAAATCTCATCCTACTGCTCCCTACTTTTATCAACCTAATGAGGGCGACTTATTCCTTATTTATCTTATTCATTTATTTATTTTTGTTCACAATAAAAGACAAGAAGACGAAAAAAGAAAGGAAACTTCACTCCACATTTGACCTATTTAACTCCAGATCTGTAAATGTAATCAAAAGCCCGCACACACCGAACACAATCGCGATCGCAAAAACAGCCGAAGCAACAGAGCAAAAACACCGTCCGCAGCGAAACAAACAAACCATCAGACGGCGGCAATAAGGCCTTTCCATTTACGCCGAATAAATGTTGTGTTTCCAAACGGCGCTGACGGCAGGTCTATCTCCGCCGTGGCCTGCCTCCTTATCAAATTCATTTCACTTTGGCTTAATTAACATTTCTAAGTGACTGGGAAACGGCACTTCCACAAAACATTACCCTCACGCACACGGGCAGACATAGACACGCGTATACTTCCAATTAATTATAGCGCGAATCTGAATAGCTGTCATCAATACCGGTGCTCCTGTGATTGGTTTTTAAAGATGGTCTCTAAATATGGGCGGTGGGGACGGGGGGGGGGTAGTGGGTGCAATCAGGAGGCTTCTGTGACATCGCTCGTGAAGATGACTGATGATGAGGATGGAATGTTGTGCAGAGGACACGGGTCACTGATGGTCTCGTTTCTGATTGATCAAACTCATTTTCATTTCCCATCTTTTGTTCGGTCGCTCCTCTCCTCTCCTGCTGACGACGGTTATCGAATGTGAAAAACCTGGAAACAATGGGTGGCGGGGGTCTTGAGGTATCTGAGAAGAGAAAGAAGGAGGAGGAGACGGGAGAGAAATGGTTCAGCTAAATATGTTGTAGTGGTTCTAAAGTTGATAGTTGGTTGATAGAATGGGTTGCATACAAAAAAAACAAAAGATTGATTTGAATTATAGTTTTAAGGTAACTTTTTGCTTGGATTCAGGATATTTTTTCCTAATACGACAAATGTTCCAAACTTTCTTCCTGTCAATCTCTTTCTCTCAGCGTCACTGTAAAATGTCATTTCCATCCGTCCACTTTCTTCAGCTTTATAACTTGCTGGGTCATAGGGCCAGCAATCTGAACTGAGACACCCGGGCCCTCTAAACCAGGGGTCTCCCACCTTTTTCAATTGGGGAGCTACTTTTATAAAACAGAAAAGTGCAGCGAGCTACTCCTTTAGCAGTCATATAAATACAATGGTCATCTTTATAATAACTGCAGAAAATCATGGAGAACACACATGCATAATACCAATATACAGCGCCTTTATAGTTAGAGTAGTTTCAGAAGTGAATCATTCAGGATCATGTCTTAAATTCTTGAGTCCTTTGGGGAGCTACCTGAAAGGGGTTGCTCTAAACATACACATCTGCGTTAATCCGGGGTTACACTGAGGCGTTCCCAGGCCAGCTAAGAGACATGGTCCTCCAGCGTGTCCTGGGTCTTCCCCGGGGCCTCCTCCCAGCAGGACATGCCTGGAACACCTACCGAGGGAGGCGTCCAGGAGGCATCCCGAACATATCCCAGAGCCACTTCAGCTGGCTGTTTACGACCTGGTGAAGCAGCGGCTCTACTCCGTGCTCCTCCCATGTGATTGTTCTTTTTTTCCACAACCGACACATATTTACATAGATTTAATTTTCATTTATATGTATATTTTCCATTTATGTTGTAAATAAATCTTTTTTTTAAGTTTTTCTGCTTTAACCTTTTGATAGTTTCCTCATCCATTTGGTAGATCACCTTTTGAGTCAATATATCTACTTGAGACTTGCTTGGAACTGAAATATTCTTCTTAAGGTCATCCCACTTGGTTTTAAGCACTTTTACGGTCAAACTGCCTCCCAACCATGGACTATTATTTAGGGGAAAAAATAGGTAAACACAAATTGTGTTATTTGTGCTCCTACACCTCAGAAAAAAATGTCATTGCTTTTTTCAAGAAGTGAATGTTCAAGGGTTAAGGATTATTCAAAACTGTATTACATAATTTACAGTGTGATCTTGATTGTGGAAGAGCAGACGCATTCATCCTTATGCACATTTTTGACAAATATATATTGAATACTTCCAGGAAAAAAGCATGTTCAAGGGTTCAAATGAAACACAGCTGTATGTTTCATCACCAAGTCCAGCAGTATCATGTTTTAACATACAATTCTTACACAACAAAAGAAAACAAAGGACTAAGAATAAGAATAACTGTTCCCCTGTGTCTGTGTGTGTCTGTGTGTGCGTGCGTGTGTGTGTGTGTGTCTGTGTGTGTGTGTGTGTGTGTGTGTGTGTGTGTGTGTGTGTGTGTGTGTGTGTGTGTGTGTGTGTGTGTGTGTGTGTGTGTGTGTGTGTGTGTCTGTGTGTCTGTGTGTCTGTGTCTGTGTGTCTGTGTGTCTGTGTGTCTGTGTGTCTGTGTGTCTGTGTGTCTGTGTGTCTGTGTGTCTGTGTGTCTGTGTGTCTGTGTGTCTGTGTGTGTGTGTGTGTGTGTGTGTGTGTGTGTGTGTGTGTGTGTGTGCGTGTGTCTGTGTGTGTGTGTCTCTCAGGAACAGCGGACATCTGCCCCCCCAGTAAGGTCGGCTGTGTGGACAAAGCTCTGGGTAAGACACAATCTCCTCCTCATTTGGTTTCTCATTACGTCCTGATGCAGTGGCCCCGAGGGGAAATGGAAATCAGTAAATATGATAAGGATTTCAGCAGAGAAACACAAACACTCCCATATTTGCAAATGGCTCTCCCCTCCTTGCCTTCGCTGGCTTTATAACTGCCTCTTCTATTAAAACAACTCCTTCTCTGTGTGTTGCTATGATTTAAAACGTATACAACTCGATAATTGAGTCATACATGCTGTGTTTTTTCCTCATTTGACACTGAATATACCATAGTGTACTGTATATGTTATAATACAGTATTCCAATGGGGTTTGGCAAATAAACTGAATCTCAATATGGAACTCAGGCACTCAACCTACCCATCCATCCATTTTTGCTGCCGTTTCATCCATTGCCGGGTCAACCCTCTTCATGCAGTGGATGGAGTGTCTTGCTCAAGGACATTATAGCTGTGTTCAATAACTCTGACCATGTCTAACTACATCCGTATGACCTCGGCTTCTACTAATGAGACGCAAATGAGATCTTGATTGATTTCATCTCATTATTAGATTTTCATAATGGAAACGGTTATTGCTCTGTATGAACCTTCGGGAGTTATCGTGTTCCATAGACTTAAATATAAAAAAAATGTAGAAGCAGTTCCTTACGATGAAGATATAACTTATTTTAGTGAGAATATTATCATCTGAATTTAAATGGTGTTCATAGTGTTCGCTTCTCTTCACTCCTCCACTTTTTTGCATTTCTTGTGCTTTTGCATTTCTTGTGCTTTATAAGGACATTAAAACACTTTTTTTAGGGATATTGTTACCCTGTTAATGTAATGGGTGGTCAGCATGGTGCCTTTTTTAACATCACAGCAGTCTCAAGGAGGCTATAGGGTCAAATGTTTGGATAGGGACCCCCTCACCAGAAAAATAAATCAAAACAATTGATCATTGAGCTGCAAAAATATAATCTTGCTATTTTGTAAATGAACTTGCTTTGTTGTGGTATTTTTGATTCACACCAGTATGACAGATCTGTGGATATTGTTTACTCTAAAAATCCTTTCATTTCTTTATTATGTGAACATAGAATAAACCAAATCTTCATCAAATAAAGTATATCCGGATAAACCAAATCTTTCTAATCTATATATGTCTAACCTCAAGTCCGGAACATCACGACAGGACACGGTAATTGGACGTGGCTGTGCAGGCTGAATTCAAACTTTCACTTTGTCCCTATTTTAACTTTTCCCATTCTTACATCGTCCTGTGTTGTAAAACTTTTCCAATTAACATTTTCAATTAATTCTTTGTCATTTGCGCATAGTCTAAAGTCTATTGGAGCAGCCGTTACGGGGAGACCTCTTTATAAGCTGTATCTTTTTCATCTTTGCTCTGACCTTAGATCCGGCAGACTGGACAAAGATGCCTTGGTTTTTTCGCGGCTGAAATGCATTTTCAGTAAAAAAGAGGTTTTCATAGCAGCCCCGGCAGACACATAAGTGCATTACAGAGCTATAATTTCTCAGGAAAATAAGCCCCAAATGTAATTATCTTTCTCTTCACAGACCCAAGCACTGTTTAAACATGCTTGAATGAAACTGCAGATATATCTTTCGAAACGGAGCATATTCACATGGGCTATAGACACCTAAATTAAATTGTCTGAATAAATTCCTCCCTAAGGAAAAGTAATAACTTCTTACAAAGTTATGAACCAAGGATGAATTTTCTATCTGCAGACAGGACTAAAACTAATGTTATTCTCTGCTATCTTGATTGTCCTACAGCAGGGGTCTCAGACATGTGGCCCGGGGGTCATTTTCGGCCTACGAAAAGGTATTTTTTTTTAGGCCCCCCGAGTGGACATCAAAGTGTGAAGTCAGTTTGTCCCCTTCTGAGAGTCTGGGCTAATATGACGTCATACATAATTTTAAAGCTAATTGTATCGAGGAAACAACCTAAAGGTAAAGGTGCAGTTCATCAACCCCCGTATGGTAATTCGTCGTCTGCGGTTGACCCATCCTGATGCTACTAACTAGCTTATATCAGGAGCAATGGTCGCCGTAGTAACAGCGCCCGGGAACCCATCTCCAGATGTTGGTGCTCGGCTTGGTCAGGACTACCAGAGCTGGAGAATTGACCTATTGTACATGGTTTTAGTGGTGGGGGAAACCGCATCACCCTGAGGAAACCAAGCACCAAGCTGACATTTATATTAACAATACGCAGGTAAATCTAACATGAATGTGTGTGTTTCAGCCCAGCTCCAGAAGAGCAGCGCAGACTCGTGTCCGTGTGAGACGCCCTGTAACCTGACACGCTACGGAAAGGAGCTGTCCATGGTGAAGATCCCCAGTAAGGGCTCGGCGAGGTACCTGTCCCGGAAGTACGACAAGAGCGAAGACTACATACGGTCAGTACTTTAGACCCACAGATGATCCTTTCTCTTTGGACTCAGCTGGTTCTGCTGACTTCTAAACAACTCCAAATCTGTTCAAAGTCTAAAGACAGTGTTTAACAGCTCAAAGTGATTGTGAAATAGAAATATTGAAGAATCACAATCATCATTATTGCAACTTAAAATTTAAAGACGGTTATTATTTTCATAACTAACTCATTATTTGTGGTCAAATAAAAGAGTTTTCCATCCCCCAGTTCTCAATAAGCATTTTAACATCTGTGACAGCTTGGAGTTTTGTGTGGTCTTTCTTCCATTCTTCTTGCCAAAAAGCCACCAGCTCCTGTAAAATTCCTTTGCTGCCTTGCATGAACTGCACGTTTGAGATACTCCCCAGATAACCTGTGTTTTATGTTATATAAAAAGACTTAGAAAACACATTTAGCTTCACACAATCACAAACAATGACATGTCTGACTGGGTGTGTACATTTTTAATTATACCCGTATTTAGATTAAAATGTAAAGGCTGTGTTTGAACCAGTGGGGGCGGGTCCCGGCTCGAAAGTGGCCAAAATGACGTGCGCTGACATGCTGCAATACCACCCCGGGCCGATGGGGGCGGACCCGGAATACGAATTAGCCAATGCTATATGTTAGCAAATCCTCTCGAAAACGTCTTTACAGGATGGTCCAAAAGTTCCAAAGCCCAAAGCTCCGTCCCACATGTGTGTCAATGCTGAGGGGGGTGAATTTTTTTGGACCAGTCTAGTTTACTCGCTGTGAATTTTTGAAGTCACTCGTTTAAATGAATGGAGCTCGTGCAGCTGACGCATGCACTGGTGCAGATGTGTTTTTTCACATTTTCCAGCCCCCGCGGCCATTTTTAAACTGCCCATAGATCGCGGAAGTTGTCACACATTAGTTAGAACGGCGGAGATAGGCGTGACTACGTCCGTTAATATTTACAGTCCATGGGTTGAACGTGATCAGCTATTAGCCAAACTGACAAAAGCATGAAGGCAAGGTAAGTTTATATGTATAGCACAATTTAAAATCATAAATAATCACAGTACATTTAACCCCCCTGAGTTTTTCTCTTTGAAGTTGAACCATGTTGTTGTGACGACATTGTGAGATGAATAATAAAGTGTATTTTATCTTTTAAAAGCCGCTGCAAAAGCTTCTGTTTGCTTTAGTTTCTCGAGCTGTTTCACACCAATTAGAAACTGTTTTGAGAAGTTTTGTACCATTTAACACTATGCATACACTCTAATGAGAGAACCTGGATTCCTGATCAACTGATTTACACATATTTTGATTTTAAAATGCCTTAGGACCATATCCAGACATGTGCTGCTGCTGTATTTGAATCCTCCGCACAGCTCATGATCTCTGTCTGTGGTATGATCGCACTCTGTCACTTTGGGCCCGTCAACGCCGTCGTAGTAATTTACTGCACACCTGATTTTTTTTATTCTTGTCAATTTTAGCGTCAATTATAATCAGTAACGTTGTAAATCACGCGTTTTATGAGCTCTGAATTCCTCTTCTGTTCGCAGAGATAACTTCCTGGTCCTGGACATCTTTTTTGAGGCTTTGAACTATGAGACCATAGAACAAAAGAAGGCGTATGATGTCGCAGGATTATTAGGTAAGGCTACAGTGTGTGCGTGTGCGTCTGCGCGGGTGCGTGTGTGTGTGTGAGTTGATATGTTATAAAACTATTTTTCTTGAGGTTAAGACTTGGACTAGAACATGAAAAGGAACTATCTATTTTTTATCAGCTTGTGTTGTAATACCTGCAGACTAAACCAGGGGGCAGTTTTGACGACTAAAATAGACCCATCCCAATCTTGTTCCAATCTTCCTTATGTGAGCCTGGTGTAATTTGTAACATGGAAAAATACACATGTCCCAGAGGCTGTCGCTTACACAACTCTTTTGTGAATAGCAAACATTTGTTGTTGTCGTACGATGTAATATCTTTGTGTTGTATGTTGGACAAAAGGGATTCAATATGTTTTAATCTCCGTATTGTATTCTCTTCTCTCTCAGGTGACATCGGTGGACAGATGGGCCTATTCATTGGCGCCAGCATCTTGACAGTGTTGGAAATACTGGATTATATCTATGAGGTATGTGACAGCCGAGGACACAATTCAGCATCAGATAGAAAACAGCAATGTGCCTCATGTTTACACCAGATTATACATGGTGTCTGTTGGAACATTCCTACACGGATTCTTCAAGGGCACTCACCGAAGGCAAAACTATTACTAATAAATGTTTTCTATATAGACATTACAGACGCTGGCATTTGGGACGATTACTCAAGGGTTCGTGTTATCATGAAAATGTCATCGTTGCTGTACATAGTAGGCCCAAACCGATAGATATAAAAGAGGACATTTAATGACACTGAATAATTAAAGATGCATACAGACATTACAGAAAAATGTCATGCCCCAGGGAGAGATGGCGGGAGAGAGAGCGGACCCTGGAAGTCTCTGAGCCTCAGCATTTGGCTAATACATGTTGCTTAGAGAGTTGACACACCGACCAAGAGCCCAAACTAGTCCATCCCAGCTCTCTGTATACTTGCTGTGAGGTCACTCTCAGGTTCCATGAGATTGGTCCAGGGAGATCAGCCACTAGCACCCATGGAGGTCAGGCATGGGCATCAGATAAAGGGTGAAAATCCTTACCAGCAGTTAGAAAAGGCTTTAAAAATTACACTAAAAACCAATACAAGATATCTCAGCAAGAAGGTCCTGGGTTCGATTCCACCTCCAGGCATTACTGTGTGGGAGTTTGTGTCCTCCCTGTGTCTGTGTAGGTTTTCTCTTGGTGCTCCGGTTTTCCCTACCACTAAAAACATGTACAATAAGTCTGGCATGTGCCTCCTGTATAGACAAATGCCCAAAAAACAACAAACTGTAAAGTGCTTTGTGACTTTTGTCTGTGAAAGGTTTAGTTTAGTTCAGTTTATTCCGAGCCGGTACAATACAACAGAAGAAGAAAAGAAATACATTACGATGCTAAACAATATTAACGCACCATTACAACTTCTTTCCACAGAGAAGAGAAAAAAAGACAGCTTGGAAGGGAGTGGGATGAAGACAGGCTTATTTACTCCCACCCCCTAAAGGTGCTATATAAATACAGATTACTTACTTAATCAACTGTTCAGTCTCTGTACATATAGAGCAGCTAAATGTGGTTGTAAATAGCAGTGCAAGTGGCAGCAAGCAAAAGAACATGACATCTGGTTGAACGAGTGGATCCAATGACACCACTGTTTACACAGCTGTTCGTCAAGTCTCTTCGCCAAATTAAGCACAAAAATATATGGATTTGTTGGTGTATGTTTAAATTAAAACAATAAAATGTGTGACCTACTTTTCCTCCACCTAAAAGTATTCAACTCTTACTGTAAGAACTCAATCTCTCATCTTTGACACATCTTTGATTACTGTACTTGTTCCTTTACTGTGAGAGTTGCAGAAAGCGATTGGTGAGTTAATGAATATTGAAAATAATCACTAACATGTATTTTTGAAGAGAAGATTACACGGCTATAGTTACAGTACTATATAAAGAGCTGGGATGGACTAGTTTGAGGGTTCTTGGTCGGTGTGTCCACTCTCTATTTTGGTCATTACCAAAAGGACAATATCACAAACACAAACGTATACAGGAGCTTAGTCATACGGCAGGAGCTCGGAGTAGACCCGTTGCTCCTCCACGTCGTGAGGAACTGTGAGCCAGGACACACATACATGGAAACGAGAAATTATGAAGTCTCTGCTCAGACTATAAAAATACATAGATAGATAGAACGATAGATAGATAGATACATACATACTTAGATAGATACATAGATAGATAGATAGATACTGTATATAGATAGACAGATAGATAGATACATACATACATACATACTTATATAGATAGATAAGATAGATATATAGATAGACAGATAGATGGATAGATAGATACATGTACATACATACTTATATAGATACATAGATAGATAGATAGATAGATACATACATAGATTGATACATAGATACTTACTTTATTGTTCCCCCTGTAGGAGAAATTCAGTAGTAATACCACACTCTTGAACATGGGTAAATTAGCTGGCAGCGGACCCTCCACCAGAAAAAAAGGTCCTTAAATAGTGCGTATTACTTTGTCTTTTCAGCATATTGGATTATTTTCAATGTTATTAGTCCCTGGGTATTTCTCCGTGCCCCTCAGTGCCCGGCTGTGCAGCTGTTATCACTTATTATTCATATGAACAGATTTATTTGATTTCCCGCTGGAGAAACTAATATCCGCTCCGGGCTGTGCAGTGGACATGCCAACACCGCTGAAATATCGACACCTCTGCATCATCTCTTTTCACACTTTTGGGCTTAACTTTGACCAGGCAAACAAGAGCATTAAACATTTGGGGTGTGAATGCACAGCTCAGTCTTGTCCCTATCGCAGGTGATGAAGCAGCGGATACAGCGGCTGCTCAGACCTCGCAAAGAAGAGAAGAAGAGCCCACAGCGAGCCACAGTCGCCACGGTGAAGCTGGAGGAAATGAACACAAAGGTACGGAATACGGCTGTGTAAATCAAAGCCAAGATACACAAGTGCATACAAAATTTATACTGCGTTTGATCCCAATACAACCAGCAAGGCAATGGTCGGATTGATTATGTTTTTGTTCCATACATATGTATTTTAAGTACAAATGTAGGGTGATACAGTGTTATGGTATTTTTTGTGTTCTCTATGTTTTGTGGTAGTTACAGTAATATAGATGTTTATTACGACTGCAAAAGGATGTAGCTCTCTTCTGCTTCTGTTTTCTCCGATTGAGAAAGGTTGGAGACCCCTGTCTTACTTGTTAAACTAATACTGCCAGTACCTGAATTATTGGAGGACACAATTCAGGTACTGGCAATTGTGTCCGGTATAAAATAATTCATTCGTTCATTCATTAATACAGTGTTCCCCAATCTTTTTTGTGTCATAGCGAACAATTACTTGTCACACCAACAGCTGAAACTGATACAAGAGTGAAACTCTACAGCCTTTATTGACAAAGCAAAGGGATTTCCATCCACTTGTTTTATATATAGACAATCAAACAAGCACAAAAAAGTATTTCTAATCATCTCACATTATTTTCTTTTCACATGATTTTGACCAAGCAGGTGATTTTGGATCATTTCCAAAGCACACTAATAAACATCTCAAGGCACACCAACGTGCCACGGCCCACTGGTTGAAAAACACTGCATTAATAAACTATAGAAGGAGGGGACTGACCTAGAGTGTCTGTGGAATGTGGAACAGGCCAATTTGAACAACGCTGAAAGTGAGTTTAGCCTCTTCAAATGAAGGCATCTGATTGGTTGATCACTATGGCTCATATTCGGCTTTATGGACGGTATGATCACAGAGATCGGTAAACCACAAATTTTGAATCCCAAAATAGTGAGCGAGACACAAACGATTACTGAGTTAGAGGACTTCACTTTTCAATGCAGATGGTTGGGGGCCAGAACGAGTTAGAGCAAAACTCAGTCCACAAGCACTTCCCTATTGGGCTTGATGGAGCTGGTGAGCATTGTCCATCTGTTTACACTCCATGGTCTGCACACAAAAAGAGACCTTGAAACAGTTGTTCACAAGTGGTTTTCCCTCTCCAAATTAGTCACTTGAGAAAATATTTGAGAAATGGAGAATTCAGTTTCCATAATGTTTTTTGTATCTATTAATCTATTATCTACTTCCCCTTAGTAGCAGTAAAAATCTGCCCCTACAGTATAGTTTTGCTGTTTTGTATTGTTTAGAAGTGTATTATGCAAATGACAAATATATTCATGTAATGCAAGCCTAAAACAATATTTATTATACGCAATTTACGTGCCAGCTCCTGTGGACTCACCACCTGCAGGAGAATCAGTGAGGGGCTGGTGCTAAGTGTACTGGGTGCAGCTCTGACTGCCACCCCCCCGACCCAGAAATGGATTAAGGGGAAGAAAATGGATGGATGGATGGAATTTACGTGCAGACTTTCTCATACATATCCAGCGTGAGACTAATGAATAACGCCTACATACCTGTGACTTGTTATAACGGACAGATCTGAATACACAAAGCAACAGTTTATTATCTATTGTAAACACTATTGTCTGTGATAGGCTCGAGTTACACGCTGATAATGGGACGTGTAGACCCATGTGTATTTGGAAATGGACTGGGAAAGACGGGGGCGGGTGCCGATACTGCATTACATCACTCATGACACAACATAGTAATCTAATGTCACGGTCCTTAACTTTTGACCACAAAAATTACCCATTTGATGTTCTCAATGAGCCCTTACCCCAACAAAGCACATTCTTCAGTGTGGTTTTGGAACCAATTATGAAACATTCTGCAGTTGTCTACACTGAGAAAAAAAAAAACAATGAAATATGAGGCCGTAGATTTTTGATTCAGGATTAAAACCAGATTTCTCATACTGTCTCAATTCAAGCCCAGAACATTCTTTCTGCGTAATTTTTCTTAATATCCCATTGGCAAATATTGTCAAATGTATGAATATACAGTGCCTTGCGAAAGTATTCGGCCCCCTTCAACCTTTCAACATTTCGCCACATTTCAGGCTTCAAACATAAATCTATATAGATAGATTTAGGTAGATTTAGAGAGATAGATAGATAGATGGATAGATAGATACTTTATTGACCCCGTAGGAGAAAATCAGTTGGCCAGTAGCAGCAAAAATAAAAAGTAAAATTTATCATTCTAAAAAGATAACAATAGTAATAATCAGCAACAGTCCTTCAGAAAATAAAAGTGGAAAAAATGTGCTATAATCCATTAATATTTGAAACGGTTTCAAACAAATACTCTTGATGCCTGATGCCTGCTGTTGATAAAGAGCATAAAGAAATCATACCATAAATCCAATTATAGCTTGTTATTCTTGAGATAACAAAACATTCCTGATGAGTAAGGATTGGAAAACCACAGAGATCAGTGCCAACAACAGGACAATAAAACCACAGATATGAAAATGATGTCGGTGAAGTCCTGGCACAGTCACAGTGTCGTTACAACATGTGACGCAGGCGTTTATGTGAGAACCATTAGATTACCGCAGTAGCATCAAATGTGCGGCTACTTTCCCATCGGATCACTACTAATGCACTAAAGTCACTACTGTTTTTAGATTTGTAAAAAGGAAGTGAAGTGTGTGTGTCGATACAACATGCAGAGAGTCATGTAGGTTATATTGTGTATTTATTGGATTTAACAAGTACCTACAGTATATAGATCAAAGCAGTGGTCCCCAACCTATTGTTCCCTTTCTTCCCCTTTGGTCTTAGAAAGGGCACAGGCACCGGCTGTTCTAAGAAAAATAATGCACATTTTGTCTGTTAAAAGTACCATGTTGTTTAGGGAGAAACTCTTACACCAAGGTCTCAATCATTTTCTCTGTGAAAGGCTTATATTTTACAACTAATTAATTCTTTTTTATGTTATGTCTTTACATGATGTGCTGTAGGTATTATTGAGCAAATGCATTACTTTGTATAATTGATATTATTGATTGTGTTCTGGGTTCAAAGTATTTAATTGTAAAAATGATGTATTAGTTTTCTTGTGAAATTTTGCTTAAAATGGTGAACAACATCTCATGACCCACATCACTGTCAAGTGTTTGAAAGTTTTGAAATGAGTAGAAAGTGCCCCTTGTAATAGTTAGGCCTCAAGTCAAGCATTCACTGAATGCTTTACCATAATTTAGAATTGAGACTTCTCTCTTTGTCTTTGCTTGGGGCTGGCACAAACAGACAGTGTTTAAGATACAGTCTCATGCAAAGTTGATAATTTTGTGTTTTATTGAATTTCCAACCAGTGTGTTTCAATCAGTCCTCTGATCCTAATTCTGCTAATCCTGAAAGTTGTCCCCAGAGATATTAAAGCTGCACTTGACTTGCACGACCAAGCACATAGAATAAACTATATGTAATAAAATCCATGTAACTTGTCGCTCGCTCTCAAAACAGTTTTTGGTTATCTCCATTGTCACATGCAGGTTGTTTGGCCTCTGGCACATCAGCTTATTTCAGTGAAGGAGAGAGCACCAGCCAATCAGCTCCTTGGATTTAAAAAAACTTGAAACAAGATGTATTTGTGAAACTAGAAAATGATGAAGTGGCATACAAGAATTTAAACAAGTGCATATTCAACTTAGATTAAAAACTCCTTGAAAAACGTTGGTATTCATAGAGCACATCACAAAAATGTAAAATAGTTGCAGTTTAAACAATATGGTTTTGTGTTGCACATATCTACGTCAGTGTTTTAGTGCCACTTCAAACTAGACTTCAATCTTCCGTCTGCCGTCGTCTGTGTAAAGCAGAGAAAATGGGTGTTAAAAATGCTGGAAGTCCCCTGTTTTTTACACGAGATCACCACACCCTCATTTGAAAGACTAAACAAGCGCAGCACCGAATCATTATGTCTTCTAACCTCTCACTTATCTCTCAACAGGAACCAAAAGACACACGGAGCCATCCAGAGGGAGCCTACGCCAACCAGATCCTGCCTTTGAACCACCACCCAATACCCCACCCGCAGCCAGCGCCCCACCCGAAAACAGCGCCAACCCCACAAGCGATCTCCCATCAGAAGGCAATGCCAGTTCCACAAGTGATGTCACATTCAGCAACGTTAGCCCGTCCAGCAACATTAGCCCGTCCAGCAACATTAGCCCATCCATCAACCTTGTCCCACCCGGGAACCATGTCCCACCCAGGAACCATGTCCCACCCAGGAACCATGTCCCACCCAGGAACCATGTCCCACCCAGGAACCATGTCCCACCCAGGAACCATGTCCCATCCAGGAACCATGTCTCACCCAGGAACCTTGTCCCATCCAGGAACTTTGTCTCATCCGCAGCCCTTGCCGCTCCCACCAATGACGCATCATTCTACGGGCCGGCGTTCTGTGTTTGAAGACTTTGCCTGCTAGAAAAACCACGACAGACCATCCGTGAACTGGCGAAATCAAAAGATATTAACACAAACGGACAGGCTAAAGATATCTTTTGCTGTCTCCAGAGTAAAGCTACAGCCAAAGTCAACCACCAAACTTGTGCTGCTAATAATAAATCACTAAAATAAATGTAGGCACAACTCTCTCCATACTGGATGGGGACTCGATTCAAAAGTGTGGGGCGATTTTTGTGATTTTTGGGCCAATTTTGTTTTGGTACATGGTCACGACGCAGGGACTGCATGACGCCTTGCTCCAGACAAGGGAAAGTATGGTTTATTTATTCAGAATTTTGACGCTGACAATATATTTTTGTCTGTCTCTGACTTACCTCCTTCTTCGAAACACTGTACCATACTCAGCCATAATGCATCGGAAATTATGTAATTATTTAACAATATGATATTATCACTTTCTATTGTAAGCTGCAACTATTTCAGCGCGTGTCGCATTCATCCAGAGAAGGGTTACTTTGAGCGGTGATTCTCAACTGGTGGTGCGGGGCTCAGTAATGTATTTTATAGTGTGTTATTTGCCAAAATCTGTTAGAATTAAACAGTGTCTAAATGGAAAATATTGGAAGACTGAAAAGTGCCAGTCATTTTTTGGGGCGACAGTAGCTCAGTTGGTAGAGCACTGGTCTTTGGACCCAATGGTCATGGGTTCGAGCCCACCAGGACCCCTGTCACCTGCTCCCACTGATGTCTGGGCAATACACCCCACATTGCCTGAAGACCCCGCTGAAAGACCAGGACCAAGACAGCGAAGCCATCTTCCCGTGGACCCACCATCAGTGGATCAGAGAGGGACTTGTGCCATGAGATTTGGGTGGCAGCTCTGATTGTCACCCCCCTGACCCAGAAATTGATTAATAAAGGGGTAGAAAATGACAAAATAATTTTTCACAAGTGATAGTGTTATAGCAGAGTTGATGCAAAATGCAACACAAAGCAAAAGTCAGTACATTACAACACACAGTAAAACACACAAGGCAAGGCAAATATTCATTAGTCATTAGGGACTTATTGTGCTTTAAGTTTTCTAGATAAGTTTCCCACTGGCAAATCATTTCACTAGACACGCAAAAAGACAGGACAGAACAAACAAAAACAGAGACATCAGGCTCGGTTAAGGCTCAGACACCAGAGAGACCACATACTCGGAAAACATCGGCCAGAACGTGACAACACTGTACTTTGAGTTCTTGAACTTGCTCATGCAGCTGCACACGAGGCCGCGCAGCACATTCACAAACATTTGGCTCGTGCTGCTCCACCGCGGGACCCTCAGCAGCGACCGCAGTGTAGCCGTTTGAAGTCCTTAAACAGCACTGTCCAAATAAGAAAATATCAACGAAATGAATACAAATCCTTGTTTTTGTTTTTATTGCCCCACTGCACTCAGACCAGTTGAGAATCTGTTTGGTTTTGTGGAAGATCCAGCCTCATCTTTTGCACTCCGTCTGGTGCGTGAGTCAGGTGTTAGAGAGTAGCATTCTATTTGTACATAAAATGAAAAAAAAACCTCTGTTATAATGTTTGCTGTTTATTCTGTTCATATAATAATGCCTAACTTATGTAATATTACTTTTAATAAAATTTTAGAAGAGGATTTTTTCATGACAATAGCAAACACGATTGTAGCAATTCTTATACTGTATGTACACACAATCTACAGACTGCCAACCTTCAGCACCGCATCAGCACCACACACGGCAACGGACTTGTTTGTGCTCTTCTATGTAATACGTTTTAAATATTCTAAATCCATGTTTATTTAAGCAGGGCTACATGAGTGGAGCGTCATCTTTTCTAGTTATTTTAAATGCTGTGGGGTCACATTAATGCTGACATAAGCAATAACAAACTTTGATTTCGTTTTTGCTAGCTCATCTCTTCAGCGTAGAGTCTTGAGTGGAGTCTTGTAAACACACACACACATACGCACACACACATACGCACACAAACACACACATACATCCTGTTTTCCGTTCATTCTGTGGACGATTGCAGCAGTCCCCAAGAGGTAATGTAAACAAATGTGGAAGGGAAGAGGAGAAGTGCGGCTCTTCAAGTTGAAATTTGTCTTTTGAAAATAACATGGGCAGGGAGAGATAGATATATATATATATAAATAATTCAATATATGTAGGAAATGTTTTTTCCAGACAGAGATGGAGTTCTGTTTTCCAAATGTCAAGACCCAAGAAGGGAAAAAGTTTATATATTTGAATGTTTATTTGTTGAAGATTACATTTATAAATGTGCCATAGTAGTTCTGTGTGCAGTCATTTGCAAATTAAAGGGGCTGGACTACACGCTTATGAATGTATTTATTTTTGGTCAATTGTTCTATTATTTACATACATAACATTCACTGACCGTATTACAACCAAAATCCTTCGTATGACGATTGAATTTCGTCTTGTTTGCCCTACTGTGTGCATTCTGTTTTCCCCATATTCATGTATTTAATTTTCAGTTTACAATCTCAGATATCTCTTTTTGGATTTGACGCTGTTTGTGTTACCACCGGCGGATGTGATGACGACCTAGCTACCCTTCTCTTTACAAATAATTCAATGGCGCAATTCATTAACACACTCCGTGGATCCAAAATCAAATCATTTACTCTTTTTGAGATTTGCTGACAGACCGACCGACCCTGGTGAATACATAACCCTGTTGGTGGTCCAAAAAAAAACCTCATTGTGTTGTGTCAGAGAAATGCCACCTTTATTTTCATTGAATTTGAGATTCATACAAACATGGAAAACCTAAACGTCAATGAACTTTCAAATGTCCTTTTTTTTTTATTTCGAGAAAGTAATATATATGGCATTCAATTATACATTTAAAATAATCTACACATTCTTAATTTACATTTATGGAAAGTCCAAATAGCTTCTTTACTCTTACAATTGGGCATTTTAATGGATGCAGAATTAGATTTGATTTTCTTTATTGGTGGATATTGACAAAGCTCATCAACTTTTAGTCCTACAAAGTTGTCCTGTAGTTACCTATAATATATAAATATCATAAATATAACAGCTGAACCCACCTCGTTGGGTTTGGTCGAGTTTAGTCCGACAGAAGCCATAGTATCAGGATTGGTTTCAAACATAAAAAGCTGGGTTGGTGAATCCCTAAACCAGGTGTCTCCAACCTTTTTTACCCAGAAAGCTACTTTCCCAGGACGATAAAGGCAGGAAGCTACTTCTTTAAGCATCCCTAGGAACAAAATTGGTGATACATTGGTGTGAAGGAGCCTGATATTGGGTACAGTCATTGATTATGGTTACTAGTCCTCAAAGTAAGTGCATTTACAATAATGAATAATACAATCTGAAATAGTAAGAATAATTTTTGATTTGTTAATTTCTAAATCCTTTGGCGAGCTACCTGGAAGGGGGTGGCGAGCTACTGGTGGCTCCCTAGCTACAGGTTGGAGACCCCTGCCCTAAACAGATCATTGGTGAAAGGGTTTTGTGGTAAGTAAAATATCAAGTCAGTCCAAAATCTATGATATCCCGAACTTGGAAACACACACGAGGTTTGAACATATTTTCCATTGAAATGTTGTGTAGTGGTTTTGGGAAAAGCCATTCAAACCCTCAAGTCAAAATCACCACATACTCTGGCAGGCCAACATTTGCTTCTTAAAAAATGCAATACAAAAAAAAACATCTTTACTGTACTTTGAAAACTGTTATTGAGAAAACAGTGAATTGTAAATGTCATTCAAAAACCAGAAGCTCTTTTGAACACGACTCCGGAGGTTGTAATGCTGGGACTGCTTTGCATAAACCTCAAAGAGCGACAGCGACGGGCCGTTGTTTTAAGAGCGGATGGAAATGAAAGTTCAGAATGGTTTTTTGGATAATGAAATCACTGTCATCTGTGTCACGTTAGCAGCACAGGTCGTCCCTGTGTCTACAGCCACAAGTCTCTTTACAAGTGCTGACCCTCGGTTTAAGAGCTCCTGTGAAGTCCTTTACAGCATTAAACACATTTTCTCACAATAGTTTAGTCAATGCCATGTTTTTGCTTTATTTTTACTAATATGAAGAAAAGATAATGCATTTATACTCACTAAAATTAGGACTAAAGGAGACTATTTAAATCGACAGTGCAGGTAAAGACTGTTTGGGAGAGGTTTGTGATCAGACCAAGACAGAAGTGGGTTAGAGGAACAGAAACAGACTCTCCTCTTTCTGTGGGTCAAACGGGTTAGGGTAAACACTCTTTACCTCATGTGAGTCTGGTCGAGAGAATTACGGGGTCAGAGTCTGCACGGCAGCCCCACTTCTGTCTGTCTGCCTCAGGGCAGCTGTGGGTGGCTCTTAGTGGCTTAGTACCTTTGTGTGTGGAATGAATGAATAATGGGCCAATTTGTAAAGAGTATTTTTGACAGTCTGTGGAAAACACTGTAAAAGAATTGCTTACTTACTTCACAAACACAGAGTTTACACAGCACCAAAAACAAGTTGGAGAGCTACACCTCCAGGTTTTATTTCGGGCTGCGGTGTTTGGGACGACAGGATTTCCGCTGCTGCTGGACATGTTCCTGGACACGACAACTCTGTCCACTGCCTTGTTTACTTCTCTGCACTGGCCACATTTGAACTTTAAGGTTTTCTTATGGTCACTCAAAATGTCAACTAACTTTTGGTTTTGGGGCCTGTAAAGTTGTTGAAAACAAATTGAAAACTTAGATACAAACATCTGGCATAAAACCAAACAGAAATGTTTATCGATAATATTATGACTTTACAATCTATGTTCAAATGAATGCAAATGAACTGACATGAACTGATAATGCTGTTTCAACTACAGTTGAACCTGATGAAATCTCACACAACAAAGAGACAAAGTTAATCTTTTACTTGTTACATTGTACAAGGAGAATGTCTTGACTGAGGCAAGGCACAGACCCCAGCCTCTCTCAGGACAAGTCTGAAGATCCACAGATGGCAAGCCCCTTTTGGTAGAGCAAGATACACCTTCGTATGCAGATGGGAAAGGAAGAAACCAACACAACAAAAGGACAGTGAGACATCCTCAAAACCTGCTTCCTCCTGGCATCTGCATACAACCCCCAAGCACTCTGAAGTCAACAGTGGATTACAATACAGACAGTATAGAATTCAGCAACAAATGATTTAGCAAAATGAAAACTAAGTTACATTCCAATATCATGAAAATAAATTTAAAAGTTATTTATTTATATAAATTATTTATCTTTTTCGAGCAAGTAAGTGGGCATAGAAATAATTAGTACAAATCAATCACAGGCAAATTATGTACATGTATAAAAATATAACAAAAGAGTAAAAACAAAAGGAGTAAGTGATACTAACATAACACTTATGGATGTCACTGGTCATGTATGATATTCTCTAAAGATTAATTAATATGTAAAATGTTATTGTTAAAAATGATTCATCCAGTTGGGGTTGAATATAAGAATGTTTTAAAATTCAGTTGAACATAATCCAAACTAAAACTGCATGTTTACTGCTTAGAAGAATGACATAATCCCCCTGCAGAATAAATAATCCCAGTTAATCTCAGAGGTCTGGGTGGCCCTGATCTAAACACAAACGGGTCTGGTTTACTTTACTTCCTGTTGTGACAGCCGGCACAAACACACTAATAACAACATTGATACAAGCTTGAATCACACAGATTTGCCTTTCTCTGTCTCTGAATGCACTTTTATAAATGTATGTACAATATTCTTGAGGGGCAAGGTACAAAAAATCGGTAAACATGAGATTAGAGTCTGGTTTTTGCACAGACGTGTCCGACCAAGTCTCCATGTCCTTACACAAATGCCACCATCATTTATGTGTTCATTTGCCTTTTTGGACTTGCAGTCGTATTCTTCTGCTGATACTACTGCGTGTCGTCTCTGCTCCTTTATCCAGTAATCATGGGCTTTACATGGCTGTTTAATATTCCTAATCATGTGTCACTTTGACATTTTGCAAAGGTTCCACGCTGTAATGGCCGTGCATAACAATGTGCTCCTCCGCCGGTGTTGCCGGTATCGCCTCCACATCCGGAGCCACGCAGGGTCAGGGCCCGGACAGGAGGGGATCGGAGGGGATCTGGTCTGTAATTGCTTCACAAATGTCCTTGCTGCATAGGCCTTTGTCAAGTTTAAGCTGGTATACCTGATTTTTTCAGGTATACCTTTCTAGCATTACGGACGGACGGACGGACGGACGGACGGACGGACGGACGGACGGACGGACGGACGGACGGACGGACGGACGGACAGACGGACAGACGGACAGACGGACAGACGGACAGACGGACGGACGGACGGACGGACGGACGGACGGACGGACGGACGGACAGACGGACAGACGGACAGACGGACAGACGGACAGACAGACAGACAGACAGGGGTGGAGCCACTTAGTTTGGACCATTGTCTCTGCTCTTGTCCAGCTTTGTCTGCATTTTTCAAAAAGTAAGCATTCCGGCTGCAGCATTTGCGACTATTCCAACAATGCATGGTCCAAACAGAATCCTCTCTGGTCTGGACCAGTGCAAAACCATGAACATTGTACTACAGCAACATCTAAGGTAGAAAAAATAAAAAATAAAAAAAATAAACATTGTAAAGTACGATAGAAAACATGTTTCAGAGCTACTCAAGTTCAAGAGTGCGGTACGCTGAAGATATTTCCATTTTGTTTAGTGGAGTCACTACTCATATTTTGGTTGGAACAGGAGGCCTTCAGTCCAAATCTTGTAAAAGCTGGATGAAAAAAAACGAAGACAAGAAATGAATAGATATTTGATTATTGCTTAAAATAGCCTTGAGCTGCCGTGTATGAAGGGTCTGCTCTGTCCCGCATCAGATGGGACGTCCCGGCAAGACCACATGCAGCTGACATTCCTGGGATTCCTCTGATCCGAGCTCGTCTCCACTGTACGTGTTGGATCCTCAGGGCCACTTTCTTTACCCACAAATCGAAGTCACTTTTGCATGGATTTTTTGGCATTCTGGAATTTGGGATCTAAAAGGTAAAGGTTGTCAGATCAGTCCAAATAGAATCATCTTTTTGAGTGGCTCATGATACAGTCTGAACAGTGACATCAGTTGTTGATTACTGACCTGGGTCTTCATTAATGCAACTTAATGCAGAATTTTGAAAAGATTTGTATATTCACATTGTGTCCTCACATCGACAAGTTTGTAATGTCCACCGCGACTTCTGCTGTTATGAGTTAGGGAAAAACAATCGCAAATAATAACACAAAAACTATCGCAACTTAATGTCAGTGAGCAAGAAGTCTCAAGCTGCAAATTTGTTGTATGCTGCAATATAAAGTAATGAGATTGTAGTAATAAAATGTGACGTATGGCAGTGCTGTTTATCAAAATGTGAAATGTGAAAAAGCTTAGTATTGTCCTATCCCACAGACACACAATTCACGCACACAAAATTTGAGAAAAACCGGGTGCAACATTGAGCACTCTTCCGCGCCGCCATCTTGGACTCTTTGCGTAAATCACAAACTTAAAGGTATAAAGTAGGATTTTCCCAAATTTTAGAATCGCCCTCTCCACTTTTTGAACAGAACTCTCTGGTTTTATTGGACGTTTAGGAGGACCGATAGTTTTGATGATCCACCCGGAAGTAAAAAATCCTCCTATTTACCTTAAACATGGAAGTTGTCAAACATATTAGTGTTGTTTGTATAATTGTTTTATAAATGAGAACCGTGAGAATCGTACACACCTTTACATTAACTAGTGCCTGTAACTATTTAATGCATACATTTTAACATGTGGTTTTCGCTCTTTTGTACCGGGAGAGTGTGCATCATAGATTCAAGTTACTTTTAGACCAAGACTTAAACTTTATTAAATGTTGTACTGAGTAAGTTTTCTGATTTTTATTTTTATTTTATTCTTTTAAACTATCTATTGCACCCAAGTGAATGTCTTTCACTTGAATTAACTTAAGTGAAGATTTACCAACTACCTCAAAAACCCAAATTCCTCATTCGTTCACAGAATATACTCTGGTTTGGACGTTTTATTTGCTTTGATTATTATTGTAACATTACATTTCTCTCACATTTTTTTACATCTTTGGTTCAGTTTTATTTTTTTGTCAGTGTATCTCATTTTCCGTCCAATTTAATGTGCTCTGAGGAGAAAAGGACGGAGCGTGATGCAAGCGGCTGTTCTTATGAGGAAATGTCCATTCAACTGTATCACAGCTGAGATATGGGACATCACATTTTTTACAGACAGATGTGAGATTGTGATTATTTCTCCTCTTTGATTTTATAATTGTGGAATGTGGCAAATGCACAAACGTTTGGATTCGTACAAACTTTTTTGGGTTGTGTCTTTGGGCATTGGTTTAGTCCTGGATAATGAATTCAAATAAATAACACATTAAATCAATATAATTTACCTCACGATCTAGTTTATGGAAACATACACAGGGAGAACATGCAAACTCAGCCCTACCCAGCCCCGTCTGCTTATGTTGCTGACTGATTGGAAAAATCCGAAGCATTCAAAACTTGTACCGTCAGCTTTCTCAAACATGAGCATGAGGTGAACAGAGGCAGAACCAGATTTAATGTTACTAAAGATTATTTTAGGAGATAATTGAGTGAAAAATCTGAAAAGGTTTGCCAACTTTTTATGTTGTTCCCACGGCAACATGTGAAGCATTGGTTTTCATTATCAATTTCATACATATATTTTTTAAAATGCAGATTCTTCCTACGTTTGGAGCCGACACAGCAGTTCCACAAATATGAAATAAATGTACTTGTTTTGTGACCCAGAGAAAGTGTGTGTGTGTGTGTGTCTGTGTGTGTGTGTGTCTGTGTGTGTGTGTCTTTGTGTGTGTGTGCACTTGTTTTCAACTCCTGGTGGGTTCCATAACCTGAGATTCCACTCACGTCATGGGGACTGGTTTTACGTGGTGGGGCCCGAACACCGGACCCCACTGGTCCAAGCTTAATAATCAATGGGTAATGCTTTTCTAACGGTCCTTATGCAGTCTCTGTAAAAATATGGAAAGGACCCCTGGAGGTTTACTTTCCTGAAAAAAGTGTGTTATGTGTCGGAACCCTGGTGGTGGATTGCGGGATATCAAGGAGGGGCACACTGGGGCAATTTCAGTCCAGCAGGCTGGAGCCAATCATGGAGCAGCACAACAGAGGAAATCAGGTGTCAGGCTAGAAAAGGTGCAAGTGTGTGGTTCATTAGGCTGCAAGAAATCATGGAGGAGCACACTGAAGCGCACGCTTACAAACCACTGGTAAGTGCTGACTACAAGTCATGACTTCAAATCAAAAACACTTTTCTTCAAGACTCGGAAAGTGACGAATCAAAGGCAAATAAGATTGTTATCATGCAGCTGCAAAAGAAGAAAAATGGGGGGCGAGTTTACAGCAAGAGACACTTCTGCCTCTACTGTTCAATGTCCTGCCACAAAATGTCCCGTCATTTGACTAGAAAACATGGAAATGAAAGTGACGTAGCCAGAGCATTGGCGCTACCTGTGAAATCTAAAGCACGTAAACTTCAGTTTGATTTGATCAGGAATAGTGGAAACCGTGAGCACAATTTTGAGGTTTTAAAGGCCGGCATTGGAACTTTAGTCCCAGCTAAACAGCCAAATTCCCCAGTTAAATCCAGTGAGTTTTTGCACTGTATAGACTGTGGGGCATTGCTTAAGCGAAAGTCGCTGTGGAGGCATGTGGCCAGGTGCCGGCTTTCACAGAAAGATGCCCAGGCTAAACCAGGTAGAAGTAGGGTCCAGTCCCTCTGCTCCCTAGCCCAGCCTGTACCGGAGGGCATCAGCAAAAAGCTGTGGTCTTTAATTTCGGCAATTCATCAGGATGAGATCACGGGTGTTGTCAAAGCAGAAAAGGGGATTCTGAGACTCGGAGAGCACCTGTACTTAAAACACGGGCATGATAAGACTAAGCATGATTACATTAGGCAGAAAATGAGAAGTCGGTAGGTTAATTAACGAAGCAAAAACGGCAGGGAAACTGAAAACAATTAAGGATTTCTTTATTCCTTCCAACTTTAACCATGTGATTGATGCAGTCAGGTCTGTGGCTGGATATGATGAGGAAACAAATCAATACAAGACTCCATCCTTGGCCCTCAAACTCGGCCATAGCCTCAGAAAGCTAGCAGATATTCTTGAATGTGACTCAAAAATGGAGCATTGTGTTGATGAACTATTTATTAAAAACCTCCAACGAAGCCGGCTGCTTTTTGAGAAGAGGTGGGACGTCTGTGTTTCTTCTGCTGCCCTACAGACCCTCCGGCAAGCCAAGTGGAACACTCCGGACCTGCTCCCTCTGACTGAGGACGTTAGAGCCATGCATGCACATATTGAGGTATGTCGACCTGAATATTTGCAAACCCTAATAAGTGAGCCAACGTCTAAGCATTGGTCTAAACTGGCAGTTTTGACTCTTTGTGAGGTCATTATTTTCAATCGAAGAAGGGAAGGTGAGGTTTCAAAGATGCCACTGACAGCGTTTACCTTAAGAAGTAAGACTGGGATCCATTCTGACATTGCTCTGGGACTGTCTGAACTTGAGAAAAAGCTGTGTCAGCATTTTCAACGCATTGAAATTAAAGGGAAAAGAAGTCGGAAAGTGCCGGTTCTTTTGACTCCTGAAATGATTGCTTGGATGGAGGTGCTGGTGGAGAACAGAAGGGCCTGTTCCATCTCTGACCATAACCCATACTTCTTTTCCCGCCCGGGCGCAGACACCCACATCAGGGGATCAGACTCCCTACGGCAGGTAGCCAAAGACTGTGGTGCGGTGCATCCAGAGATGCTATCCTCAACCAAACTTAGAAAGCACATAGCTACTATGTCTACAGTTCTCAATATGAAAGAGAATGAAATGGACATACTAGCCAACTTCCTCGGCCATGACATTCGCATCCACAGACAATATTACAGACTACCAGAGGGGACACTGGAGCTGGCCAAAATCAGCAAAGTGTTAATGGCCATGGAGCAGGGAAGAGTGACGGAATTCAAAGGAAAGAGCCTCGACCAGATACAAATTGAGCCTGAAGGTAATTCTTGATATTATTAAAATATGTATAATTTTTTCCCCTAAAGGCCACTTGTATTTTTATTTTCTGTGCGACAGGGAGAGCAGTAGAGATCCTCTCACAAACGGACGGGCTAAAAGAAACTTCAAGCGGAGAACCTTCAACCATTCATCCAGATGCACCCCATGGTAGTGGCAGTGCCCCTTCTGGTAAGTGTACCAGGTGGGGGATTACAGCCAGGCTGCTTGGTCCTAACCCTGGGAGTGTATATTGCTAATATATTTTTATTTCTCTCCCTAGAACGTCAGAGAAAGCCATGGTCTGCATCTGAGGTGAAGGCTGTGGAGAAG